CAACTGTGGGGGGGGGATCACTTTTCAAACTACTCCATTTTATTCAGAACTCACGTTAATTGTCAGTCAGTTTCTCTGACCACGCTTGGTTTTACGCCATTCTGCTCGATCTCCGGCGCTTGTCCCGGTCAGTCCAGCTTGTGCCCGAAGGTCACTCAGCGACTGGACCGTCAGGGCGGAGGGGAGCCTCAATTCTCTGGCATTACACCATTGAAGAGGCTACCCCTCAAAAGCCCCCTGGCCTGGAGCCTATCGCAAAGGCTCCGCGGGGGTTTCACTTGAGATGGCACCCCTCCAGGCCAATAGTGTGCGATTCGCCCTTCCCCGTTGTGGGGAGAGCGTCCGCCATCGCTGTTCCGTAGACCGGAAGTCATTAATGGAGCATACTTGTAAATACTGAAATGGGGAAAATAAAGTTAGATTCGGGTGGGATCAAAAACTGGCTAATAGGAAATAAATGGGAAATTTTCTCAGTGGAGGGTGGTAGGCGGTGGGATAACCACAGGGATCAGTACTTGGTCCAATGCTTTTTAACTTGTTTATTAGGGATCAGTACTTGGTCCGATGCTTTTTAACTTGTTTATTAATTATTTGGAATTGGGAGTAAGCAGTGAAGTGGCTAAATTTGCAGATGACACGGAGTTGTTCAGGGTAGTGAGAACCAGGGAGGATTGTGAGGTGCTCCAAAGGGATCTGTTGAGGATGTGTGCGTGGGAGACAATGTGTCAAATGGGGTTCAATGTGGCCAAGTGCAAAGCGATGCACATTGGGGCCAAAAATCCTAACTATAAATACATGTTGATGGAGTCTGAACTGGCAGAGACTGACCAAGAGAGAGATCTTGAAGTCATAGTAGATAACTCAATGAAAATGTCAAGACAGTGTGTGCCTGCAATAAAAAAGGCCAACACTATGCTGGGGATTATTAGGAAGGGAATTGAAAACAAATCAGTCAATATCATAATGCCCCTGTGTAACTCGATGGTGCGACCTCATTTGGAATATTGTGTGCAATTCTGGTCACCACACTTCAAAAAGGATATTATAGCATTAGAAAAAGTGCAGAAAAGGGCAACTAGAATGATAAAAGGGTTGGAACACTTTCCCTATGAAGAAAGGTTAAAGCGCTAGGGGCTCTTTAGCTTGGAGAAACTACGGCTGAGGGGTGAAATGATCGAGGTTTATAGGATCATGCATGGGATAGAGCAGGTAGAGAAAGAAGTACTTTTCTCCCTTTCCCACAATACAAGAACTCGTGGGCACTCAATGAAATTGCTGAGCAGTTGGGTTAGAACAGATAAAAGGAAGTACTTCTTCACCCAAAGAGTGATTAACACATGGAATTCACTGCCACAGAAGGTGGCGGCGGCTACAAGCATGGACAGCTTCAAGAGGGAATTGGATAAACATATGGAGCATGGATCCATCAGTGGCCATTAGCCACAAGGTAATAGATAGGAACTCTCAGTCTGGGGCAAGTGATGCACTGTATTCTTGTTTTGGCCACTGTGTGACAAAGTGTTGGACTGGATGGGCCATTGGCCTGATCCAACATTGGCTTCTCTTATGTTCTTATGTGGGGTAGCCATGTTGGTCTGAAGCAGAAGAACAAAGTTTGAGTCCACTGGCACCTTTATGACCAACAAAGTTTTATTTACAGTATAAGCTTTCGTGTGCAAGCACACTTCCTCAGATATAGTGAAACAGAACTGCCTCAACCATTACTTACAGTGGGTGGGGTTTGTTGTCAGGAAGGGTCATTTAAAGTCAAGATGAGTAAGTACTGGGTGACTGTGGCTGAGATTGGATGTAAGAAAAATCTGTGAATGGCAGTAAATTAGCATACAAATTCAAGAGTTAAACAGATGTAGGAAGGAGGGAGGTTTGAGTCCAGTGGAGGGAGACCAGGGGTCCCCATTCCATGGGTAGCATTTGGCATGCAAGCTAGCACTGAAATGTTACTCTTCAGCTTGCTTGTCGCTGACATTCAGGAGGGGATGTTTCTCCCCCTGGACAGACCTTCCGGGGTCCATCAGTAGGTCATCCTGGTCACTGGTTCTGTGCTGTACTTCCTAGAGTCGCTTTGATCAGCTCAAGCGCACTTTGCATTTGGAATCTGTTTTTGCTCCTGTTCCCATTCCCCACCCCCGATTCCTTTGCCAGGGTCCCATGAAAGGCCATTCAGGTTCTTCTCAGCATGTGTCTGTGAGGTTGGTGGTGAGAGATGAATAGGCTGCTGTAGCTGGAACACTCAGTAGCTAACTTCCCAGGCTCCCAAATTGGCTGCTGGCCTTGGCAGGAATTCACACACCGGTCTTTAATTATGCTGTGAAAGGGAACCAGCACAAAAGCCTGGGATTAGGGTCATGCAAACATCCAGGGCCGAGTTCTGGATTCCCAGCTGCCTGTGGTCTTAATTGCGGTCTTAATGGGAAACGTTGGTGCGCTGCCGCCTCAGGAGGGAGCCACGTATCTCCCCACTCCTGCTTTTTCTGCAAGAGCTGTCTGTCTTTACTTCTAGTATGGTTAGAAATCCCATCCTTTTTTACGTACCAAAAAAACCTAGAAGGAAGTAGGCATGTAGTGGAGCATGCAATAGAGCCTCTAATGCAGAATCCGGAAGCCGCTGCAGGATTCTGGGGACGTTAGTGTTCAGTCATTAAGAGTATCTTTTCAACAACGGCGTTCCTAATTCTCATGGCAAAGCCTGAGAACATATGGGCAGTTTGGACTGGACGCTCAGAGGGGCTCTGATTGAGGTTGCCAGTAGGCAGAGGGTATCAATGGCTGATGAAATCCCAAGATCAAATCTCACATCTGCCTTGAAGCATGCTGCTCCCTGCCAGCTGTGGCCTCCAACAACAGTATGACAGTATTGGCCTACCTTAGAGGGTTGTTGTGAGGACCCTTGAGACACGAGGTGTTTGAGCTCTTATGAATGCAGTATAAATGCCAAGCATTATGGGTCTGTGCTTTGCACTGGTGGCTGTCCCTTGGTGTCCCAGATGCCGTTTCTCTCTAGTGCACGGGGAGTCCCATGTCCTCCTTCCTTCAGCCAAAAGGCCAATGTGCGCAGAACATGGCTCACGTCAAGGGAAGAGCTGGAGTAGGCACTGGCAGAGCAGGCGTACAGGGAGCGGTGGCGCAGGCAGTAAAACGCCTGCCTTAACAACACTCGAGCAGTCACTATGGCTGTTCGAGAACCACCGCGGTCAGGGTGAGCTCTCGACCCTAGTCCCAGCTCCCGCCCACCCGGCGGCTCGAAAGCAAGTAACTGATGCAAGTAGAGAAATGTGTACCTACCCTTAGAAGGGTACCCAGGTGAGAATGACGGCGACGGCAATTGGCGGCGAAAGACACCAGCGGCAGCGGAGTACCGGCGACAAAAATGGGGTGGCGATGCAGCGGCAAGCAGCAACGGAGCCCGAGGAGAGATCCCTGGTGGCCGGCAGCGGAACATCAGGCAGCCGTCACTGGTGGAGGCGGAGGCAAAAGGCGCTCGATGATGTCATCAAAAAGACGCAGCCGGGGCCGGAGGAGGACGTCGGGCGTGTGCCGTATGCCATCCGCCGAGCGCCAGAAGAACATCTCGCCGAGGAAAAAAGCTGCCTGGGAAGAGCCGAGCCGAGCAAATGGAAAAAACACCAAACAAATGTGGCCTTAGTTAGGGAGTATAAATGTGACTAGCACCTCCTCTGTAAACCGCCCAGAGACCCCCAAGGGGGTTAGGCGGTATAATAAATCGAAGACATAAATAAATAAATAAATAAATAATAAGCGATGGGTGGGTAGATTCTGCTGCTGCCACTCTGTGAGTTGCTCTACTCCTCTAGGCTTTCCTTTCTCTGGTGTCTGTTGACGGCTTTTAGGTGATGTCTCTCCTGCAGTATATCTCTTGCTTGCCTTTCTGTTTCTTGTGCTTTCTTCCTACTTGCTGCTCTTAGAGGCTCTTTGTGGGTCTGGGGAAGAGGCACGGTTTTGCAGCAAGGGAAAGAAAAAAGGACCAGCTCAGCCATACTTGCTTCAGAGCTAGCGTTCTGTCACTGGAATGCTGGACTAAGGTTGGTGAGACCTGGATTCAAATTTCCACTCAGCCATGAAGCTCACCAGTGGACTATACCAGTCCTCTAGCCTAACCTCCCTCCCAGTGTGGCTGTGAAAACCAAGGAGGAGGGGAAGGGCCTTGCTCACCTTTTTTGGGTGGAGAGAGATTTTAAAGGTACTGTTTTCTTACTGCTGTTGGCCTGGGAACCAGGCCCCCACCTTTGCTAAATGTCGTTCTTTTTTTTCTCTCTTTTTTTAAAAGAATTTATTTAAAATTTTTCAGAATACATCATATCCTCGGTTTACATTTATCATTCTTGTGAGTCATACATGTTCTCTTTATCCAGCCATACATAGAATTTTTTCCATCTATTTTCAAAAGTCTCTTTGCTATTGCCTTTTAGTATTAGACTTAATTTATCCATTTCAGCTACTGACAACATTTTATCAATTACCTCTTTCTTAGAGGGTAGAATGATAAATGAAATTACAGAAGAACAAATACCATTTGCACCGGAGATTGCTCTATTGAACATGCTGCCAGAATCATATACTAAAATAAATATGTAATTATATACTTTTTTACAACAGCTAGAATATTGTTAGCCAGAAAATGGAAACAAGAAGAATTACCCACTAAATGTCGTTCTTGATGGATTTTACACCAGCCAAACCTTCTCACTATGACACACAAGAGAGAAGAGGCAAATTCTTTGTACCAGAAGTCAGAAAAATTAGCTTTTTCCTCAGCAGAAAACCTTATCCCCCATCACAAGCAGTCACTTGGCCACGAATCAGAATGGTGTTAATCTCCCAGGGCAAGGTTGGCTGTCCATTGGATGAATGCTCAGAGGGGAATGGTCATTTGCTTTGGAGCCTTGCAGGGTACCTGAATGATGCCCATGCCAGGCTGGTGCCCACTGCAGTCATTAACTACTTGCCCCCCACCCCTGAAGGTATGAGAGCACTATCCAAGTTGGCAAGCTGCAAGACCTCATCCATCGCAGTAAAATGGCGAGATGCAGAGGGAGGTTCGTCTGTCCTATCATCCTCTACAAGGGAAAGGTACAGCTGTGTGTCTTTGCATTATTGCCTGTCCTTCTCGCCACTACACATTGATTTATTGTTGTGGCTTTCAGCATGCTTGTGTGTGAAATGGCACTTCCCCTAGCACCTCTGCTTGGGTTGGATTCCATTGACCTGACTTCTGGGGTGAGGATCTAGCGTCAGAGCAGGGTTGTAGTTGCAGATGTGAATGCCTGGAAGAAAATGTTTTCCTGTTCTTACGCAGGACCGACCTCCAAAAGAAAAATGGGAAGTCATGGGGGAGAGCTTTAAAAAAACAACAACACCTTCCCGTGATATGCTTTCAGTTTTGGAATCAGAGCCTTGGTCCATTTAGCTTGGTTACCTAGTAGAATTTCTTCGAGGCAGAAAAAGGGTCTTCCGCAACACATGCTGCCTAATGTCATTTCCCTGAAAGTGCCAGGGACCTCCTGCATGCCAAGCCATCACTAATGCGTGTCCCCCCCCCTCCCGACAAACATGGCTTTCGAGCTCAGTAGCACCTTAGAGATCAACAAGATTTTCAGGGTCTAAGTTTTTAGAGAGTCCAAGCTCCCTTTGTCAGGTAGACTCTGGAAAGCTGATGGCCCTGAAAATGTTATCGGGCTCTTAAGGTGTGACTGGAATCGAATCTAGCTCTTCTACCGCAGACCAGCACCTGCCTACCTTCTGAAGCTGCTTCATAGAAGATTTCCATATTAGCGAATGGCTTCAGGCATGACCTAGAAGCACCGAAGAGAGGATTTGTCAGCCGGTGGGCATTCTGTGTCCATCGCTTCCCAGTAAGCCTCTGTGGTGGCTGTAGAAATCTGAGTCTATCCACACGGTTCAGCCAGTGCAGGAGCTTGGCTGTGGTGTAATGTGCCAAGTTCACATTGCCTCTTGCTGGAAATGCTCTTTAAGTAGGTAACAGGTGGAGGAAGAGGATCCTGCAAGAAGCTAGTCTCAGTGTCTTCAGTCAGGGGTCAAGAGATAAAGTTCAGAGTGGATGTGAATAAAATTCACAAGTGATATTGATTAAAAGAGAAAAGGCCAACAGGGCTGCAAAGGGGGAAGGGATTGCAGGGGTGAAATACCACTTCGCAATGCAGTTGGGAAGTAATGTAGACGGGCTCACAAATACTCGTCTGGAAGGCACAGTGGAAACCACAGGTTGTGAGGTGAGACCCTTCAGTTTTGACACTGGATAGCGTGATGAGGCTTCTCTTAGGCTAGATCGGTATGCATGTTAAAATACTGGGGTGGTAACATGGGCTGTACTGTTTCAGGCCACCTGTGGATAATGTTAAGTCCTTAGTGCTCCCTTCTGTAATAATAAATGGAGTATATCAAGGAGAGATGTTGTAGCCCAGCCCTCTACATGCGGTGTTAGTTTTCTGCTTACAGGGAATGATTAATGTACAGCAAACTGGGGAAAGGGGGACATACGCCCGTCCTTACCCCATACCGCTGTTGTATGAAGTGGTACAACTTATTCCGCCATCTCCTTCTTCTGCAATGTCTTGGAGGCTACGCTGGACATTTCTTCGGTATCTCTCTCCACAGCACATATGCCGCTCAGCCACCTTGGCTGGATGGGGAGAGCTGTATGGGCGTACAGGATACAACTACATTTTCTCAGGTGAGTCAGGGGAGAGGAAGGGACTGTGGAAGGTGGGGGGTAACCTAACCTGCTTCTTTTCTTTTTGTGATGCTAGCTGAAGGGGAACTGGGCGTCCTTGAGAATTGGTTAGAGCAGCAGCCTCAGTTTGTACTTGGTGATGGTGGCTTGTGTGACCCGGAGAGTCGGACCTGGCAAATCTTGCTGGGAGCAGCATAGTGTTTTTTAACACTATATACTAGCCATGCAAAGGATGAGTTTTATGGCTTGAGCCTTGCTGGATGATTGCTTAGGTGCCAGCAGGAACTGTGGCCGTACAGGTGCTTGCACAAACATGGGCTGCCTGATGCAGTGTTGGGGTGCGTACAACTCTGCAGCCCATCTCCTTTGCATGTGTAGCGCTGTCTCCAGGAGTGAAGCTCATGGGGGATTCCCTTCTGGTGCTGGAGAAGGAAGCCTAAAGCTCCTGTCTTGAGCAGCAAGGTGGACATCCTCTAAGGAACCCTCACTTCTCATTGATTCTGGCGAAATACAGTCAGAGTGGCTGCCTTGATCTTCCACTTTTCTCTTCAGTCATGATATTGTATGCTCTGTGCCTTTAAAAGTATCTGACTCCTGTGCTGAGGAAACCAGCCTCTTAACATGGAATGCTGGCTTGTGCGACTGGACGAACGTCCCTGTTTTGCGCCGCTCATTCCCGTTCTGCTTGTTGCGGAGAGTGGCCAGCAAGCTCCGCAGAGCGTCCCAAGTGTCCTTCCTCCTGTTTTGTATCGTTTCTGTATTCTGAAGATTCCAAGAGTGGTCCCCGCACCTTGAACGTCTAAAGTCTTGCCAGTTGGTTAGCGTTGGTCTGGCTGGTGTGAAAGCGAGGGAGCAGTTTCTGTGAGACAAGCATGATCTTAGAAGGAAGGGAAAACCATGTATGTCACCCTGAGCTCCTTTCGCAGTGGGTGGAATAAATGCCTAGATGTTGGAAGCCAATCCTATACAGGACCAGTGCAGAGATCTAGCAAAGCAACGTCTGCCTTGGGGTTGAGAATCACGCTGGGTGTAGTGGTGGCCCTGCCTGCTAACCTGTTGTCCTTTTTGGTGGCTTCTCTGTAGGGGGCTCAGATGATGCCTGGGCGGATACCGAGGACCTGTCAGAAGAGGATTCGGCCTTCAGGTCTGTGTACGACACGGAGGAGGGCAGATAGAGTCCTTAATTTCTTTCCCAAGAGATGCCTCTTTGGCTTGATGGGGATAAATTTAAGATGGGCAGCTTTTTCCTTCGAGGCTTTTGCAGCCATGAGGAAGGCTGGACTTCGTGAATGTTTCTGGTGCGCTTCTGGCACTGGGGTGTGTGTGTGTTCCCTTTGCCAAAGAACTAGGATCTGCCTGTCCTTCCAGTGAAGCCATCCTCAGATCTGTTGAGTTGGACCATTCCTGGTTCTTAGGCCGAGGCTGGAGAAGGAAGATGTGGAGGTCTGGAACCCCTGAATGGATGGGCCAAAGCTAAGAAAGTAGGGCTTATACACAAGGTGGTCACAGGACCACCTCAATTGCTGCCAGTATCGGAGAGCACAGTTTTATTTATTTATTTGTTTGTTTGTTTGTTTCACTTTTACCCCGCCCTCCCCGCTAGGCAGGCTCAGGGCGGCTTCCAAGAACTGACAAGCAGTATACATTCATAATAGATTATAAAACATCAATTAAAACACAGCAATCAATATAAAACATCATTAAAACATTCATTAGATGGCGATAGAACTAAGGTGCAATTTAAGGACACATTCGGCAGTACCGCCGCATTAGATCATATAGGATCGGAGTTCACTACAGGGCGCAGCTGGTAAAACGTCGCTCCTATCGGAATGCCTGCCTAAAAAGTTCTGTTTTCACAACCCTGTGGAACTGTGATAAGTCCCGCAGGGCCCTGATCTCGGCAGGGAGCTCGTTCCAGTAGGACGGAGCTACAAACAAAAAAGCCCTCGTCCTGGTTCCTTTTGACCAGATCCAGTCATGTCAATCAGCCTCGAAAGGTTTGCTCGTGCACTGCTGACGGAGCAGTGGGCATGCTGTAAAAACAAAATAGTTTATGCTGGCTTGAGTTCCCCTTCAAGTATCTCCTGAGCTGTGTGCATGAGTGGCCGCTCATTAACACAGGAAGGCCCCGCTTGGCAGCAATCTAGAGCCACACAGGGTCTCTTGCACTGCCCATTGCCCATTTTAAGATTACAGTGGTTATATTCTGCTCAGGATGTGAACTGCTCTGCTCAGTAGGGGGGGAAATTAGAGGGAACATTGCTCCAGAGGGTGTGATTTTTGTGAAGGGATGAGAGAGTTCTCCGAAGTCATAAGTGGGGGCTGCAAAACGGTCTCTGGAACTGGGGGACAAGATGGGGAACCAGGAGAATTTCAGATTGCAGAGTGGATGAGTGTGTTCCTTGCCAGCTGCCTGGTGCAGCCTGCTGCCGGTCGGTTCGCGGAGAGGTTCTTCGGGTGCCTTCCTGCTGACCTTGGGATGCTATCCATTGGGAAGCTCTCCTAGGCAATCGAAATGGCTGGGGCTCACACAGGAGAGCTTCCCACTTGGCCATTCCTCTTGGCCTGTATAAAGTTGGCACAGCTGCTGTGTGGGGATCTGACGTGGTGCCTGGGGCTTGGGTGCATCTGTTTCTGGAAGCGAGTCAGCTGGGCTGACCCCTTTCCACGTTTCTGGGGAGGGTGACTCATCTTGTCCCGTGTTTCAGGAACGCAGACTCACAGCTGTTCGACAAGGTCCGGGGCCACGACATCAAGCTGTTGCGATACCTGTCAGTCAAGTACATCTGTGATTTGATGGTGGAGAACAAGAAAGTGAAGTTTGGCCTGAAGTGAGTCTAGGTGCATGTATGTCTAGATGTTGATAGATGGTAGGATACGTAGAGGAAGCCCCCTTTAGTACCACATACTGGGTGCTGCAGCCCAGATTTCTTGTGTAGAAGCATTTGGGAACTTTTAGAAAGGAAGGCAGTCCTAGGATGATTCCTTAGCTCTGCCTTTCCCAAACAAGAGGAAGTTTCTTGGGGAAAGGGATATGCAAGTGCATCTCTGGCTCACCTTGGGGTTTTTGTTTTAGTTTTTAGATAGTTCTGGCTGGGAGGTGGGTCCTATTTCTCAAATGCCCCCTCCTAGAAAAAAGTCCCTGGGTGTAATAAAGTAGCGCATCAAGGAGTGAGAAAGCTACAGCAAGCCTTTTAATGTGCTAGCCTACTGCATGCAGGGAGGGTTTTTAAACCACGAGAACTAAAGGCATAAGGCCGTGACCTGCCATCTCACATAATGTAACACATCGATCATCATTTGCAATGGTGTAAATGCTTTTTTTGGAAAGCACTTCATACATGTTGGCAGGCTTCCTGCTGTGTGGTCATTGTGATCTGAAAATGCAGTTCTCTGAGTAGGTGAAGACTAGGTTCTTGGATTATGTGCCATTCTAGATATTGTATAACTCTAAAGATGGGATGAAGCAGGACTTCTGATCCCCTCTCCATTCTTTTTACTCATCCAGTAATCCCACCCCCACTGTCTCCAGGGAGCCCAGGGGTTGCATATGGGGTCCTTCCTTCCCCAGTGTTTCCACCACAACAATGAGCAAGGTGAGGCAGAGAGAGAGAGAGAGACTGCCCCCAAGGTCTTTTAGTGGGCTTCATGGCCGAGCAGGAATTCATACTTGAGTCTTTTAGATCATAGTCTAAGCATTGTATCACACTGCATCACAGCCATGCAAAAATAGAAACTAATCTCGATCAGGAGGTGTGGGCAATTAAAGGGGGCCTGCTAACTAGCCACAGTCAAGGCTGGTTGTGTGCTCTACTTACTTGTTGTGCTTTTAAGGACAGAATAATTGCACTTCTCTCTGAACGTAATTGGTATAACTTATTCCATTTGTGGTTTGGCTAGACTGGTAATAGTTTGGGCACTCTAGTGCGGCAGAGGGTAGACAGTAAAAGAGAGGCCGTGAGCATTGCACAGGCGACGAGGTTAGAAGCAGGGCATGGAAGTCTTGGGCCTGCACCAAATGCTGCACTTAGACTATTACCCTAACGACGCGGATTTCTCTAGAAAATAAATGAGAAGTGAACTTCCTAGGAAGTGAAATCCTATGCCAATATCACGTCCTGTGCAGGGTCCCCCCCCCCCATGCTTCTGTGGGGCTGCAGAAGGCAGTAACTGTTGGTGTGTAGCTCAGGGTACCTGCCTTGTTGCTGTTTCTGTTGATTTAGTTGCAGTAACAAGGTCCCAAGGTGATAGTATACTTTCCCCAGAGGAGCTCAAGATCGGTGGAAGAGAGAAAAGGAGGAAGAGAAGTGTGTATGGGGTGTGTGTGGCTTGATGTGAGAGTCAATGGAGTGGAAGGAAGAAGTACTGAAAAGGATGGGTGTTGAAGGAAAAGAGCAAGGTAGCTCGGAAGCTGCAAGGGAAGCCCCCCCCCCGACTGAGAATTCACCCAGGCAGTAGAAGAGGAGGGGGGGACAAGTGGACCAAAGAGCAGACTGGAGTTGGTTCCTTTACTCTGCCCCAGGAAGGAAGTTGTACTCTCCAGAGCGCCTATTCCAGGTGAGCCAGTTCACTGCTTGTTGCCCTACAACACTTCTGGCGGAGGGGCTGTGGCTCAGCGGTAGAGCATCTGCTTGGCATACAGAAGGTCCCAGGTTCAAGCCCCGACGTCTCCAGATAAAAGGACCAGGCAGCAGGTGACGTGAAAGCCCTCTCTGCCTGAGTCTCTGGAGAGCTGCTGCCAGTCTGAATAGACTGACTTTGGACCAAGGGTCTGATTTCAGTGTAAGGCTCTCCGTATGACTAACACAGGGGCGGGCAGAAGCTAGATTGCTGCATTGGCAGTGGACCCCACACCCTGCAGGCTAATGCATATGCGTGCTGGTGAACATCGTGCTTGCTTGAGCCAGGAAGGCAATTCCGGAGCAAGAGGGCATTCTTGGGATCACTGAGTGCAAGTCAGGTCATGCCTTCATTGTCAGGAGCTCATAAAATGTGTGTGTGTTTGTTTTGTAAGTTTGAATCGTGTGGGTTGATTGTGGAGGGGTCTCTGGGGAAAGAAGTCGTTGATGCAGGATGGAGGTTGGGCCCCTCCTTTGCTCTCCAGTGCCATAAAGCCTCACGCCAACGTGGCACGTTTCCCTGTCTCCCGTTCTCAGTGTGACGTCTTCCGAGAAGGTGGATAAAGCTCAACGCTATGCAGACTTCACCCTCCTCTCTGCCCCATACCCAGGTACGGAGAGGGTGTTCAGAGGGTCAGGCAGCAGCCTGCAATGAGGTATTGTGTGTGGGGGGGGTGCGCGTGAGTGTTCATGTGGTAAGTGGGAGCATATGACCAACTTCAAATTGGATGGAAGGTGCTGCTCAAAAATAGTGGGGATGCCAGCAGGAGTTGGATGCCCACGTGCGGGTGCTTTCTCGGCTGCGACATCGCTGCTGACCCGCCCCGCCAGAACTTGGTGTCTCCCCCTCTGCTTATCTCCAGGGCTTCCTTCTCTGCAGAGCAGCACAGTCAGAAGGGGTCCAACATTGCAAGGAAACTCTGGCTAGCCGAGGCTGACCTGGAAATTTCATGGAGCCTTGAAATGTTACGGGATGTTCCTGGGGAGTTCTGGCATGGGGAAATGTGTGCATATGCACTTAACATCTCCTAATGGAAAGGGAGCCCACAGTGGGAGTGTTCCACTTAAAGCTGCAACAACCCTTGGATAAATTTCCACCTCTAGGACATGACTTAGAAATGGCTCCAAAGTTGAGATGTGTGGAGGCGTTTGTGTAAAACTCAGGATTCATCTAGGGTGTGCTCTTGCATATGAGAGAGAACTGGTTCTGAATCAAAATGGCACAATTCATGTGACCCAAACCTTTTTGGTGCATTTGTTATGGCATGAATGTTTCATGCTCTGCCCTATAAGTATGTGGCCGAGACACCTCACTGCAACCGGGGTGGACGGTGACAGTATTGATAATTTAAAACAACAACAACAACAAAAAACACGGCCAAGTGTTCTGCTTTTGTGCTCTTGGCAGCATTTTTGTGTGGCGCTTTCTTTGAACCGTACAAACTGGCAGGCACGAACCTTTTCTTGTTGCTGATGCAGTATCGTTGGAGAGCTGTGGATTTAAAGAAATGGGCCATGTTCATGGTCTTCTGCCTTCGCCACCACCGATGGCTATGACAGGGCTGGCTTCCACTGGCATAGTTCCAGCCCTGACGACAAACAAAGCTAAGAACCTCTTCCTGATCAGTACTAGCTCAGGGCCTAATACTGGTGGTTAGGAGAGAGAGCTGTTCTCTGGTCTGCAGAACGTGCTCTTTGGGGCCAAGCGAGGTCACAGCCCCTTAAGCCCTCGGCTGGTTTTGGCTTTTGGTGGCATGCCTTGTCTCTTTCCGAGTCGGGGCTGCCTGTCACCGTGTGCCTGGCTCCGGGACCTTCGGCTGCCAGAGGGTGCTGTTGCTGCGTAGCCGGCTGACTGCCGCTCTAACTTCCAGTGACAGCCCAGCTCTGGCACCCGTATGCTGCCTGCTCTAGGGCGTGTGGTTCTTGGGGAAGAGGGGAAGAGGCCTGCCTCACTCTGTGGCGGTTCAGTCTGTCTCTGCGCACATTCATCCCCCCCCCTTCTCTCTCCCGTGCCCCATTTCTCCCCCACCCCCCACCCCTTCACAGGCTGTGAATTTTTCAAGGAGTACAAAGACCGGGATTACACAGCAGAAGGGCTGGTTTTCAACTGGAAGCAGGTATGAGGCCGATGTCGAAGTGGATAGGCGGGTCTGGCTTTTGTCTGGAAGGTGGTTCCATTTTGAAATGTTCCTTGTCTTAGGAGTGTGGAGCATGGCTGGAGCCAGGCTCCTTGAGAACGGGCCCCTCTGATAAGTCATCTCACTCGTCAGGCTCTCCTTTGGACCATTTAATTCGTGCCCCGTATGTGGATTTCCTTTGTCAGAGCTGGACCCTGGAGCGTGTGATTTTGTTCAAGTGTCCCGAGGGGTTCCCTCGCCAGGAGTTAGTGTCGGAGAGCCCTCGATATAGCAAGGGTTAGAGGAAGAGGCTGCCAGCCAGCCAGCAGGTGGTGTTCCCAGTTACACAAGGAGCCTCTCTCCCTAGAAATCCAGCACTCTCGGTCCGGGTCTTGCTTCCCTTCCAGGATATAGCCCCATTGCTGCCTGGACAATTCTCACAGTGGCCAGAAGGAAACCAAGAAGCCGCTGCCGCCATTTCCCCCAGCCCCTCTTCTCTTCTTCCGTACCCAGTTCTGTCAGGTCAGCATCTGGGAGAAACCTTTTTGGAAGCACTGTAGCCTAGAGCCCTGTTCCTCCCACACAGAAGAGCACAGCAGCAACAATAGTCCTCAGCTTGGAAGCATAACGGAAGTAAACTCTTGACACCTGGCATAGCTAGGGGGGTGTGTGCTCGTGGTGCCTCACTCTGTGGTCTGTCCCTCTGCCACTGTGAGTTGGGTTTTACAAGAAGGAAGGGAAGGTCTTTTGAATGCAGTTCACGGAGAAACAGGGCAATGAATTTATTCTATTTGTATCCTGCTCTCCCCCACTATTGTGGGGCTCAGAGCACAGGAGATGGCGCTTCTGCTCTCTTGGCAGAGGCCTGGGGGGGTCAGAAGTGCATCTGTTGTGCCAGCTGGCCCTTTCATGAGAGGTCAGGTACCGTAATCCAGCGGGTGCCATCTAGAAATGGCGCCTTCTCGGATTTCCGCAGTCCAAACCCTGTTGTGCTGTTGATTGGATGTCCCACCCTGTTTGACTTGCACTACGTAATCCGTTTTGAATCTCAGTGAGAAAGGTGGGCCAAAAATAATATAAGTAAATATTGTGAAGCACATACACAGTGGCTCAAGCACTGGGCCCTTGCATATATGTGTATAAACATGAGGGACAGAGAGAGATGCAAGAATGTGTGAAATAATCTATTTCTTATAACCTGGAAATACTTTCCTTAGCTGTTAACTGGGCAAACTTTTAGAAACCTGTCTTGATCTAGAATCTCGTAGAACTACTGAGGGCTAAGCAGAGTACCCCTGAGTGTAGGACCTGGTCCTGTGGGCCACCAATGGGGCATCCTTTATCAAAACTTTCAGCACCTTGGAGAGTCACTCACTGGAAAGCGTGGAGGCCAGGGAGTGAGGGAGAGCGATTGCCCTGCCACCAGTGGGAACCTTGCATGTTTGCTTAACTGGATAGAACTAAGTCTGCAAACCTATGTACTACTGATTGGAAGGTCCTACTGAACTGTGGGGCCTACTTGCAAGCAAGGATGCCTGGGAATTTGGGTAAGAATTTGGTTCCCGTAATTAGTATGCTTGGATTGGTACACAGGGCTTTAGTCTTAACCAGAGCTATTTTGGGGCAGGAACGCACAGGAACAGAGTTCCGGCTGGCTTCCAAGTTGGCCACACCCAGCAGGAACTCATTAGCATAATAGGCCACGCCCAACATCAGAAACTCATTAGGATTGGCTACATGCAAAGGAGTTCCTCCTACAAAAAAGCTCTGGGTTTTGACAACAAACAAGGTAAACAGAATAAGAAGCAAAAGGTGGGTGTGGCTGGATGAGCACAGTTCTGGTAACATGGGGGTGCGGCCTAATTTGCCAATGAGCTATGCTGTCAGGGGTGTGGCCTAATATGCTAATGAATTTCTGCTGTTGGATGTGGCCTATTATGCTAATGAGTTCCTGCTGGGCTTTTTCTACAAAAAAAGCCCTGGTCTTAACTACGTCTTGCAGTTGTGATGGACTACATGCCCGTTTCTTTGCAGGATTTCGTCGACGCTCCACTCAGCATCCCTGCCTCTCTTACACAGTCATTGAACATTGACTGGAGTGAGTATCAGGTAAGGTAAGCGAAGGGGCGGCTTGGCAGTTGGGCCTCCGGGCAAGGGCAGGTGGCAGAGCTTCTCCCCCCCCCCCCGATTCCCTGGGTTCTGACGTGGCACCGTTTGGCACCCACGATCACATATCCCAGAGATCCTCACCCGAAACTGCCTGCTTTTCACCAGCTTGGTACTTTTTGTTCTTTATGACAATCTCACAAAGTAGGTCATCATTATCCATATTTTATAAGTGAATGTATTACTTGTGTGCCCTGCTCTTTCTCTGAAGCTGAGTGCAGCTTATCTTTGGTTCCCGGGCAGTCGTCTTCCAGGCAGGGCCAGACCTGCTTAGCTTTAGAGCGGCATCATGTCCCTGCGACCCATAATAATGAACAGGGGGGGGGGTACCAAGGCAGAAACAGTGCCTTTTCCCAAGAGCTATGCAGTGAGTTCATGAGCATAAGAACCACCCTTCTGGATTAGGCAACGATCCATCTAGTCCAGCAGCAGCCAACAGAAGGTTTACAAGTGGAGCTTGAAGGGGTCAGCCAAGCCCCTTCCGCCCTGGACAGACACCCCCTCCATCCCAGGAGGCAGGATGCAAAGCTACCCCAGAAGTCCTACTTCTCGTTCTTTGCACTGTAACAGGAGCATTGCTGAATACCGCAGCAGCGTTGCAAGGAGGTGGGCACTAATGTCATGAGCGATATTAGCCACCTTTCTGCTCTGCAGTCTGAGAAACTGGCCTTGAACATAAGCTGTTCCCAGGGAGAGTTTTTCCATTCTTGCAGCGTCCCTGCTTGTCTTCTCAGAACATGCAAGCGCTTCATGCTCTTTTACCTTCTCTGCGCTTTCATCTGAGTTCTCGTTCAGGGTTCCCTTCCTTGACTTTTTGAGCTTACTCGTCCTAAAGTGTGCCATATTTTCCCAAGCGTCTCCGTCTCCTCTTCCTTGCATGCCCCTCTCTCCATTGTTGAAACCCTTTGAGTGAAACCTGTCTTCACTTCTGCCTTCCTCCTTTCTTTAAAACTCGCCCCTCCTTCCCTGGCCTTTTCTGTGGAGTGCTCAAGAACGCTAGTAGTTCCCTCTCCTTAAGAACTCCTGGTTCTTTGTTAAGGGAGGGGTGGGATCTCTCTCCCAGTAAGCCTGTGTCCAAGAACCAGGACAGCCTGCCCCTTTGGACAGAGAAGGAGGAAGGTTCAGAAATGGAAAATAATGGTGATTAAGCAATTGCAGTTCCTGGCACATCATGCTTCTGATGATAGAATGCTGTCTTCTTTTTTTGGGGGGGGGGGAATATTGCTATGACAGCCAACGCCTGCATGTCTTCCTGAAATCCCACTGACGACAAAGCAGTGGCCTGTACTATTGTGCCGGTGCCCTGCAATTTCACCTAGATTCTGCCAAGCGTAGCGTGCCGTTAATTGCATTTTTTAAAGCACGTTCTTCACCGAGCTTCGCAACGAACGTCAGTCATTTTCCTTTCTGTTCTTCAGCAGCCAGGTGGTGCCAGCCCCTTGATTGGGGGGGGGTAGCCGCTTGCCTGGGGGGTGGGAGGGGAGAGCTTGCCTGTGGGGAGTCTTGTCCTCAGAACCTCTAAATATACTGTGGCTGGGATTAAATGAAGCCTAGCAGAAAAAGAAATGGATATGGAATTAAAGGAATGTAATTTAATGTTGAATATGTTATATCCAAAATAAAAAGGTTTTTTGTGGGAAAAAAAAGATGATGAGGTTCTTGGAATATCAAATGTTGCCCTGCCCTTAGCAGTACTGTCCTGTCGACTGTTTCTGTTCCTGCACAGACCTCAAGAGGTGGGTTCCTGTATGGGAAGCAGAGGCCAGAATAGCCCCCCCCCCCCCC